TCATTTTAAATCTTGCTTGTTATTTCTATTAATAATCATGAATCACATATTTTCTAAATCGGATTCTGTTTATTTACAGTCTCACATGAATAGGGATCATACTGAAGATACAAAGATGATTGTGAGACACTGGACGTCCATTCCGGTAAAAAAAAAAATGATCTATATGTTTGGTTTAAATCAAGTTCACATAGGACTACGTTTGCTTTTATTTTCAATCTGATTCTGCACTGTGTGATCAGGGCTGAATGACCCGGTTACAATTGGCCGGAGTATCTGGGCCTAGGGTAGCTTTTGATAATAATTCCTATGCAATTATACTTCGTTTAAGGTTTTTAACTGTTTCAAGTTTAGTAGCTAAAGCTTTTGATGAACTTCTCATGTGAGACTGTACTACTTATATCTGCAGGTTGATTCAGCCATCATGCTAGATTTGGATAGCCTTGGTTTTAACGTCAAGGTATTAGTACTACGAACTAAATTATTTGTTCAACCTTTGTTGGTTTGTATTATAAGAACTAATTATTATTACGTGTCTTTGCTAAAATATTACTACGAATTAAAGTTCTCTGTGCGTTTGCTGAAATATTAGATCATGTTAGGATAGAATGACATTAAAAGTTCACGTTAGGTTAGTATTAGTTATGGGTTCGTACCCGTAATCATTATGCTGGGGACTAATAAATTTTGACAGGAGGAAATGAGAATATGGATAATTGGACGCAATAATTTTGGCCTATGATATGTTATATTGGAGTAATACCAATCTTAAGGATCAAGCTTTTAGATTAATATTTACTAATTAATGTACATTTAAATCTTAACAAAAGGTGTATTGATTTCAGCTCTACTTTCCAAGGGCTAATAAATGTGTTTTGTTTTTTCTTTTGTTTATTTAGGCTAGTTATCAGGGGAATTCATTTAAGCTTCGTGTACCTTTTCCAAGACGAGCAGAAAATAGAAAGTAAGACTTCCTACCCTATAATTCTCATTGCTGAGGCAAAAAGTTGTCTATTGCATGCTTTTTTGCCCCTATATGTTTCTGGTCTGCTGAATGTACCATTTGTTGATTAGTTGCTTCTGTTAATATAAATAACGTTTCTTCAATTCTAGGGAAAGATTCAAGGGCAGGCTTGAAAATTGACCAAAAACCAACCAACAAATCATCCAAACTAACATCCCCAACCGCAAGAACACCCAAAATTCAACCGGAAAATTGTAAAGTAAAAAAAATAAATAAATAATCGAACCTAGAGCCAAAATGACCAAACCTAATAAAGTAAAATAAAGGCACAACTCAACTTTACGACCATAATACTAGCACCTTGCTCGATCATAGCTTGTAAGAACAATCTTCTTGCCGTAGATCTCTAAATGGTTGAAATTCATCTAACTAATAAAAGGCATAATTCACCATTTGTTCAAGTTCAGACTTGAATTTATGAAATTAAAATCTTAAGTTTGAAATTAGCTTTTCCGTCTACTAACACTAACATTATTAAACTGGCGAAGACATTATACATTTGTCCAGGTAAGAGGTAACAAAAATAGAAAAAAGGCTCACCCATTTATTATCAAAGTACATGGACCAAACAAAATTTGACCTAAATTCTATGTGCAGTATAAGAGGACATTGCATCGGCTTATTTTTTATTTATTGGTTGTGTGAATTGTAATAATGAATTGAATTCCTTTCTCCGTATAAAACTTCATTAAACTGTATTGCAACAACGAACGGACAATATGGAAAAAATTACGAGGATTATGAATTTCTGAGAACTGTGTAACAACTGCTAATTTAATCCATAAATTACAAAATTGTTAAATTTCAAACACGAGAGTGCATGTTTAAGTATAGATACTTTGGGACCAGAGATATTTCTTTCCATCTTTATTTTCATTTACAATTCTAGTTGTATGATGTTATTTTCTTTCCTGTTGAAGTCCTGGTTTATGGTGTGAAGGTTGATCTCGACTTCTAAGGAGTTAGATAGATGACATGTGGAGATAGTAGGATTGTTATTTGAAAAAACTTTCTGCACCTCTGATCGTCTTGAATATTTAGAGTTTCGGGCATGTTCGAGAGTGATTTTAGTGAAAATGATTTGTTATGAGTGATATTTATTAAGAGTTAACTTTTCATATAATAATTTTAGTGTTTGGTTTTACACTTATAAATATGATTTTCTTACCATGAAGCTTGAATACTCCTGAACATGATAAAAATGATCTTAACCATTTCAAAGTTTCTTCTAGTCATTTTAGTCCCTCTTGTTTGAATTTCTTTTCACTTTTTCTATTGCATCTTTTTAGGGATGTCAAGACACTTATAGTTGAAATGCTAGAAGCTGCCAAGCCTCAAGTTTAATCACCTTGACAGGAAGATGTTCTTGATCTTCTTTTTGTAATGCTTAAATTGAACTTGTCATAACTTTTCTGGCTTGGCTTGCTCTTTGGCATGCTAAAGCATTATCATTCCCTCTCACGAAGCAGTTTTAAGTTGTACATGGTATCTATGAACGAACCCATACATGTAAACTCTGATAATGATCACTTGTAAATTCATTTTATTTTTTGTTAATGAAATAGTAGGATTATCTGGCCACAAACTCCTACTACCTCTTTCTAGTAGACAGGTTTTAAAACCGTGAGGCTGATGGTGATATGTAACGAGCTAAATTAGACAATATCTACTAACGGTGGGTTTGGGCGGTTACATGGTCTAACTCTATGGTTTGACTCAACCCAATTCTTAGTCTAGCAGATTTCAAGTCCAATTTGAATAGTTTTTTTAGTTGGTTTTGATCTAAATTTAGGGTTCTTTTGAATTTTTTAAGCAAGATTCATGAATTGTTGGTGTGAGTTTGGATGTTGTTTGGGTTGGATTAAGACAATTTTCAGCTAATAAAGGGAAATATTTTAGGGCTAAGTTAGATGAATTGAAAAGTCGGATTCGATCAGCCAATTTAAGACCCATACCCGATCCGAAAAGCCCAAACCGTACCCTACGTGGAATCCCTAAGCCGAACGTCGCTATTAAATTGTTCCCGCCCCCTTTCTCCGCTCCGTCGCCTAAATTTTGAAGGGAGGAGACAATTTTTGGTGTCTATTTCTTGCATGATCCTGAAGGTTTTAGTTTTGTTTAGATTTGGGGTAAAATTTTGAAAATGGAAATGGTTAAGCCTTTCGAATGACTAGGAGGTGCAAATTATTCTGCAACACCTTTTGGTTCAGACAAAGGCTTACATCAATTGATCGGATATAAAATTCCATTACGGAATCCGTTTGAGGGAGTCGAACGTTTTCTTCTTTGTTCCTCTTCCGGATAGCTTCGGACATTTCTCTTTTCCCCCCCATCTTTTGTTTTTTTTAAGTCTTTTTAGCTCTTTTGATAAGGAATTTGATATGCGTTCTTTGTGCTTTTGGAATCTAATCTATCTGAATTGCATGTTCTTTCTTTTTAGTGAATCAAGGATGGATTTAGATGCTGTAGATTAGTGTAAATGATCTTCTGCGGATGGTTTTTGGCCTAGGGTTTTGATGTTCTTTGTCAATCTGATTGTGAAATGTGGGAGTTGATTACGTAAATGGCTTGCATTATGTGATGTTCAAGGCAGTGCATTTTTGTCAATAATACAATCGACGAAGCTACGATTTATTGTCAAGTTGTCATGCCATTATTTGATATTTTGTGCCTAGTTCAAATCCCACAATGGAGCTTTCACTTTCTGAAGTGGTGGAATCTCTGTCCCTTTCATTGGACCCCAAGTTTTTTTTTTTTTTTTCCTAAAGTATTTCTTAGAAATTTAAATGGAGGAAAGGAAAATGATTTGATCTGATCAATTTAGTATTATTGTTTACTGTTCAAACCTTGAAAAAAAGGGGAAAAAAAAAAAGGAAAGAGAGAACACTATCTGTAATTGCTTGCTCCATTATTCGGCCGGTCACTCTCTGTCTGTTTCACTTTTTTTTTTCAATCCATTTCCATTATTTAGCCCTGTACTTATATTCATTTATTGTTTGCATTGTATATAGGCGATTTTAATCAGTGGAAGAAAATTGTAAGGTGGGTTGATCACCTGATAAATCATAACCAAGCTAGCTGAGCAAAGGAATAAACCAAGCACCATCATATACTTGCTCGTGTAAGCCATATCTCCAAGTCCCTTGTTGCTTTGAAGGTGGAAATTGCACTTTGTAATATGGTTTTTGTTGGGAGTCACGACTCTCTCCAATGGTATGAGTGCTCACTTTGAACATAAACTCTCATGGTTTTGCTTTTGATTTCCCCAAAATGTGTCATACCAATAGAGATGTATTTCTTACTTACAAACTCATGATCATCTCTCTTAATTAGCCGATGTGGGACTCCCCACCAATAATCCTCCCCTCGAACAACGTATACAATAGAGCCTCCCTTGAGGCCTATAGAGCCCTCGAACACCCTCCCCTTAATTGAGGCTCAACTCCTTTCTTTAGACCCCTCGAACAAAATATGCCTTTTATTTGACATTTGAGTCACTTTTTAACACCACCTTCGAGACTCAGAATTCTTTGTTCGACATTTGAGTATTCTATTAACATGACTAAGTTAATGGCATGACTTTGATACCATATTAGAAATCACGACTCTCTACAATAGTATGATATTGTCCACTTTAAACTCTTGGCTTTACTTTTAATTTCTCCAAAAGGCCTCATACCATTGGAGATGTATTCCTTACTTATAAATTCATGATCATTACCCCACACCAACCGTTTTCATTGAGTTAGACAGTAAAAAGTTTGTTCAGAGGGGCTTGAATGCTAATTAAGATTCAGGGTCTTCTTTAATGAGCAAGACTTATCCATTGGTTACATTTATTAAAGTGGGACAAACGTTTTAATATAGAGACCACGCCATAGGAGTTATTGTATATGGACTAAATAGTGTCTTAACCGTTCAAGATCAAGATCAAGATTTATGCTTTTAGAATCATCTCTTTCATTTCCACTGCTCATGTGTATAAAGATTGTATCATTTCCCCACTGGAACACACAACCAAACCATAAAAACCTATAAAATTCAAAGCTGATCAAGACTGTATTGGCGTAGGCTATAACTAGGACTCCTGAACCTTTTTTTTTTTGTACTTAAAACTATAATCTCTATGTACAGACTTCTAATAAAGTGATAGAATTGGTTATTTTTAATGGCAAATACGCCTCAATTCATCCTCTAGTGTTGAGTCTGTCTTCAAAGCAGAGCCACCTCTAAGCTTCCTTAGAGCCCATCATAGCGGCCGCCACAGGTTATGTGAGCCCTTGTCTGTGGAAGTCCTCTTGCTGCTGAGATTGCTTCATTTAACTTGGTAGCTTGCTGAACCGCTTGCTTTAATTTCTGCAACCAAATGCTATGAAATAAGCTCTGCTACAATTTATGGGTTTTATGAACTGAATTGAATTCCTAACCTAACATTTGCCTTAAGTCATTACTGTTTGAGGTAATATTGCATGGACGTTTTGAATTGCTGACCTTATCATTGGTGTAGATCTGGATTTTCAGCTTTTGTTGGTTGCCTCCATAAAACAGAACACAAATAGTGGCAGCTGCAACCCCAAAGGAGCAAATGGCTCCAATTCCATTTAAGCTCCACTTCAATATGTTCAACCCACCGATGGATCCATCATCCATCTTGTTGCTTTCCTGGTTCATCAAATTCATCCTGGGGGAGTTCGTACTGCTCTCTTTAGCCTCACCATCATCATCAAACTGATAACACCCTACATCAATTTGAGCCTTGGTTCCCTTGTTGCTGGATCTGGGTGAGTCTATTTTCATGTCGACGAATTCATTTTCCTTCATTTTCTTGAAGAAAACTTGTGTAACAGTCTCTTGATCTGCTTTTTCCACGGCCCCTTTTTGATCAACCTTCTCACTCACGGCCGATGGCTCAAAACTGATCACCATAGGTACCTTTTCTTTCTCTTTCATTGCCAGTGAATCATCTGGAACTTTGATAATTGGTGAGTCCAATTGTAGATGAACAGGGATCATCGGCTGTTTAGGCAACCCTGAAGAACTCCTCGGCGGTTGGCTGATGTGCTCGGAAGAATCCATTGACGATGGGCACAAGAAATAGTTCATATCAACCATAACCTTGGCTTCAGAAGCAGAAGCACTTCTCTTAGCCGCGATGATCTTCTTTTTATCATCTTTGTAATCAAGCAAGGCATCATCAGAGAGGATTTCCCACTCATGGATATCCATTTTCTTTCTCTGGAGGTACGTGAAATATGAACTCACAACTGGGGGGGCTTTATAATGGAAGAAGAATCAAAATTTTCAAACTTTAGATGGAATTTGCAGGTCCTTTGGCCATAGGAACCCACCAAGAACTCAAATGAAAATCCCTCTGGATTGTTTGTAGCCTTCTTCTCAAGAATATGCTTTGTTTGGGGGAAAATCTTAGAGAGAGAAAGAGAGAAGGGGAGGAGGGTATTATGAACATTTGATTATGGTAGGTGAATTTTTATAGGGATTCTAAAGAAGTAAACAGCCCCCACTGGAATAAATGGAACCACAAGGATTGAAAAGAGGGTCGGTTGCTTGCTGGGATTGTCTAGAAACGATCAAGAAAGGATAAGTTTTTAATTCTTTTTTCCTCTTTTTCTCTTTTTTTTTTCTTTTTAAATCATTTTGTTATTTTTTTAATGAGAAAAAAATGGGAAAGTTTGATGCTTTAATATATTCTTACTCATTAGGAAAATTTTTATCGTCACCTCTAAATATTTGCCTGGACTATCAGTTTTCAAGCTTCAATTTTTACCTTTTTTGAATTTATATAAATAAATAAATTTCAAAATTTACATTTTTTTTCTTCCCAATTTTCCTTTATTTGTGTGATCATCTGTTCTTTGAAAAGAACATTTCTTTAGTTAAATGTTTTAGGTGCCCTTATTGATTACAAAGTTGAATTGAATTTATCATGTTAGGTGTAACGTGCATAGTAGCTATTATTTTGTAACGCTCGTTCGTAAGCTCTTCCTTATTTACGGACAATAGCTTCTTGGCATAATTCAAGCAATTACTTTTATAATATCTTTATCGAAAGAACTTGTTTTATATTAGCTGCATACATTGTTTGTCATAAAAGAATCATTTAAGAATGGTGCGATATCCATAAAATAAAATAATATATTATCAAATGATGTCAAATACGGAATGAAAATGGTTCTAAAATGCTTTCCATCGTCCTCTATGTCCATAACCAGTATACAAAAACTTTGCTTAACCCTCATACAGATGGTAATAGTCACTAAAGGGCAGCGGTAATAGCCATGAAGCATTATGAACGAGTCGGTAATAGCCACAAAATTTCAACTTTGCTTAACCCTCATACAGATGGTAATAGTCACGAAAGGGCAGCGGTAATAGCCTCGAAGCATTATGAAGGAGTCGGTAATAGCCACGAAGCATTATGAAGGAGTCGGTAATAGCCACAAAATTTCATGGCAAAATACAAAAAACAAGAATACAAGTACTATTTGAACAAGCAAACTCCCCAAGTCTTTGGCATTTGGCCGCTCATACACCACACCAAATATCTTCAGTCACATTCAATCACAAGAGACCCCTTTTCTTCCCAACAAGCAATCTTTGAAAATGGAATGCAAAAACAAACAAACTCTCAAATCTAGGCCTTCAATCACGACCCCACAAGCCTGCCCTTATCCTCTCTTCTCAATTAATTAGCCGGATCCTCATTTTAAACCTGGGATTATCGAAAGATTACATTTTCAAAGTACAAGTCCCGAGATGTGTAATTGAATGAGTAGGAAGGATACTGGGTTTCGAAGGAGGTTGGATTGTAAGATCACACATCGATTGGAGAGGAGAACGAGCGTCAGTGAGGTCGTTGGGGCCATGAAGAAGGTGGATTGTGAGATCCCACATCGGAAGAGGAGGTGTAGAAATCTCTCTAGCAAACATGTTTTAAAACCTTGAAGAGAAATCCGAAATTAAAAGTAAGACAATATCTGCTAGTGGTGGATTTTGAGCTGTTACACAAGAACTTACCTACTGTTTAGATAACAATATCGTTATGATCCAACTGTGAACCGAACAATGGTCAAATAAACAAAACAGCTTGTTTGGGTTTAGACATGTTTTGGTTTTTTTAACTGTACAGGCCTTGCCTTACCCTCTACTCTCCTGCTACCTCTAGTGCAAGTAAAGGCCTCAGAAATTTGCATTTTCAATTTTTACAAGATGGTAGGAGAATCTAAGTCGATCTCGAGGACGAAGATTCACCGAATGAGACGGAGGCCAGAGACGATGCCCAAACATGAGCATTCCTTGCTCCTTTGTGGAAGTTCTTCGTCTTGCATAGCCTCAGCTTCGCCCATGCCCTTCTCATATCGACCATGTGGAAAATCCGCCCCATCAGTTGTCGTGTTTCGCCAAATATTTCCAAGTTCAGGTGGGGCATGTAAGATCTCCAAAGATTGTTAAGACTATATAGCACATGTGGTAATTTGACTATTGCAAAACGAAGACATATGAATACAAACGAGAACGCCAACAATGGTTCGCTCTTCAATATGTTCTTCGGTGAGGAAATCTTTGACCGTTCGATTATTGGCCTTCCAACGCTCTCAATTCTAAGTAACTCATCTTCTTTATAATAAGGAACCAATTTTAATCCTGACATAACAAAACGCGATTTAGATATACGTTCACCAAACACAACCCGTTAGAACTTGATCACACATACCCACATTAGAGAACCTTACCTGTTACTCGGTCATAGAAACGAACGAGCGAAAGTATATCTTTCGGACCACGATATCGAAACCACAATGTTCTGTTCACCAGTAATATAGTTGGGAAGCAGCGGACTCCATATTTTGAGAGTACGCTACGAAACGGGAAGACAAATTGTTAGTAAAGAGATCGTAAACCAGCCAGTTATTATCCTATTCAAGTTTCAATGACAGAAACAAATGAACACAATAGTTCAACTACTTACTTTGGTAGTGTAGAAGATTGCTCAACCACCAAAGTGTTCTATTTGAGGAAACAACGAGCTGAGAGATTCGAATGTGTGGTGCAAACGGAGAGAAAACGGGCACCACGACACGTAAAAGAACATGGAGGTGTAGCCGTTCTTCTTATAAGACGTCAAAGTCTCATCAAGGAACTTCCCATCCACCTAAAGATCAGAAGAAGGGCAAAGAAAATCAATAAGAGAGAAGAAATTACACTAGGGCATACAAAAATAGTCCACAAAAGAAGAACAGGAACTACAAGAAACACCTCCAAACAAGCTCAATGGGACCTAAACGATAAATACAAAACGGCTGCACCATCGAAGCCCAAAGAGAAACATAGAATCTAACGGTGACCGAACGCGCACGGAGAACTGTCAAGCCCTCGAAAAATCCTATTGTTCGTCTCTCCCCAAAAAACTCAAGTCATTTCCATTGACTTCCTCATGGACCCGAAAATTGGGTTACAGATGCCTCAATCCATCCCCAACTCGACCCGAAAGTTGGGTTACAAACGCCTCAATCCATCCACAACTCAGACCCAAAAGTTGGGTTACAAACGCCTCAATCCATCCACAACTCGACCCGAAAGTTGGGTACAAACGCCTCAATCCATCCACAACTCGACCCGAAAGTTTGGTTACAAATGCCTAAATCCATCCCCAAATCGACTCGAAAATTGGGTTACAAATGCTTAAATCCATCCCCAACTCGACCCGAAAATTGGGTTACAAACGCCTCAATCCATCCCCAACTCAACCCCATGAACATTCTAACTTCTGATTCAACATCTCAACTCTTCCAATCTAATTCTTCAGATAACAGTAAAGAGAAAAGAACAAATATGCACAAATTTATCCACCTCCCCTCAGCTGAATGTTCATCACATAAAGAACAATCAAAGAGCTTAACACAACCAAAATTCAGCCATTTACAAATCTTCTAATAATCTAATTCTAAAGGTATAACAACAAAGCTTCACGAACAACATGAACAGCCTCCACAAAAGTTGGAATTCAGACAAGACAAAAAGAAAACAGAGATGATATCAGCTATGCAAAACAACAATCACACAAAACCAAGAAGATAACAGAGAAATTCACACCTGTAAAGGCGAGCTGGGAAGCACAGAGGAAGGGCATTGAGATCGAACCCCATAGAGAAAGAAATCCGAATCTCTGGGGCAAAATGAAGATCGGGGAAGGGATTTTGAAGACACAAACCCTAGAGGAGTAAGGGCAAGAAAATAAACAAAAAGGGAAAAGGCAGCCATGTTTGGCGAAGAGATTACCATAAAATGATGAAGAATAAGAAAAAGAACAAATGGGTATTATAGAAATGAATCAGAAAGGGAAAGTCGAGCAGAAAAAAACGACGAAACAGATAAACAGATATGTATTGGTTCCTCAAGTTTCTAAAAAAAGGGTATGGTTCAATCAGATTTATCTAGATCATACGGTGGCCGTGACGGCGGCGGCAGCGGCGAAGGGTTTCGTTGAGAATCCAACTGGCACCGATTCAATCGCAGATTTGGGAGGAGGATTCAGGTTTTCTTATATTTTCCGCTTCAAAAGTTCCAAATAAAATCCAGCAAAGATATTTGGTGATTAATTTTAGAACTTTCAGAAGGGAATGAACCGAAAGGAGTTTGTGTTTTGTAATTGATATTCTGTTCTACGTTCCTACGAGTGTGGAGGCATTACTTCAAAGAATTTAATGGAAAAAAATAAGATTTTTGCTCATTTTGGATCCATGTATGATTCATCTTTTTCTTCTTCAATATTTGAGAAAAGATTTACAAAGTTGGAATTTGTAAATTTTGTATATGATCCTCTCTCTCGGGATGCCCACACTTAATCTACAATGCCCCATAAAGACCTATTCCGAACATAGAGAACGTGGGGAGAGATTTCTTCAGGGACAGGAATTATATTTTCTACTTTCAAGTTCTAATATAAACACATACCCAAATATCATCTCGTGTTGCAGATTAAGTGTGTTTTCTTTGTAATTATAAGACTGAACTATGAAATATTTGATCTCTTTTGCATAAATCCATTAATTGAAAATATTAATATTTTACAAGAGGATCATTTGATCTTAATCCTAATTGAGTTATGAACCCTTGCCTATAAAATGGTCCATGTACACACCTTGGTAGGAAGAATCGTCGTGATCTCATGTTATGAATCAATGATAGAGATCATAGGATATGTCAACATATTTCCTTTCATAACTTTGGTTGGGAGGACGATCCAAAACCTCCCCAAAGGACGGAGGAATATATTGCAAGCAAGTTATAAGCACAACCATCATTGTCGATGGTCGGTGTTCATGATTTTACCTTCAACATCCAACGTTCAACTACCCAAAAATTATCATGTCATTTAGTGAATAACTAGTCTCGTCGACAATATTATAATACGATTCTTACTTGAACGACGAATTGAACATTTCCAGCCATAAAACTCAAACTCGGCCTATTTTCACATACCTAACTCGTAATAACTTGAAGATGTAAAAGAAGGAATTAGAAGTTTTATAAAGCCATGAGTGATGCTTATTTATTTGTACAGAACAAAAAGGAAAGAAACAGAGAGAGAGAGAGAGAGAGGGTTCCAGCACAGCCAACCTTTAAACAGAGGATTGGATCCCAATAATGCCTGCTCAACAATCAAGCAAAACTTCCAAAAACTGTACAATAAAACCACAAGGGTACAAAATGCTTAGTTCTATAATTTAGGAACAACATAACATATTCTCTATCACCCAAAATCCCTACTTACGGTCCGGGCCTCCGCTATCTTCATCATGATTTTCCGTGCTTCCCTTCCCTTCCCTTATGCGTTTATTAAAGTGTTTCATCGATGGGAAGGCAATATCGATATCGCATGCCCTACATGCTCTATTGCCTAAGGTTTGCCTCGATTTCTTGCTTTTGAGTCTCAACCATTAAAGGTAGGTCATTGCCTACTCTCTAAGTTATGTGAATCTTTTCTCGACAAGACCAAATTGAGGCTTCTTCGGGTTAGGAATGGCTTTGCTCGTCAAAGAACTTCACTAGTTTTTTTCTCGATCTATCAGTACCTTTGTTAGTTTCTTCACCTCCGCCCCGCCCATTTCTTTTCATCCTTCTTTCCATCTGCTTCTCACCATTCTCTTTCATTTTTCTCAAGTGATCAAACATCTTATAATCAAAACTTATGTTCATGCCATATGCCATATGCCATATGCCTATACCTATTAATTTAGTGCAAGATCCCACATCGGTTGGAGATGGGAACGAAACATTACTTATGAGGGTGTGAACACCTCTCCCTAACAGAGAAGACAATATCTACTAGCGGTGGGCTTGGGTTGTTACAAATGGTATCAGAGCCAGACACCAAGCGGTGTGCCAGCAAGGACGCTGGGCCCTTAAGGGGGTTGGATTGTGAGATCTCACACCGGTTAGAGAGGGGAACAAAGCATTCCTTATAAGAATGTGGAAACCTCTCCCTACGTGTTTTAAAACTTTGAGAGGATGCCCGAAAGGGAAAACCCAATGGTGGAATGCTTATATTCCTCCCTTTATAAGCATCTCCTTTTTTAAAGAAAAATTTGATCCAAACCAAGTTGTCTTTAAAGAAAATAAACCTAAAATAACATCTTTCATTTCAATAGAGATGGAGCATATCATCATCATGTAGCACTTCAAATTGCAGCATTACAACAAATATTCATGCTAAATCCACCCTATCTCGTCCCCACTATTTTTTACGACTCATTATGTTATGACCTAAAAACCAAAACCAAATATGTAGAGGATTTGCATACTAACCGCATCCGATTCTTGCACCAGCGTTTCCCGTCGTCTTGCTGAGTTCATGCCCGCCTATTGCATTTAACATGTACGATTAAGCCAAAAGGCAACAATGAATAGACGAAATGAACGTGAACGACAAATCAAACATAATCTTTCAAACTGACAATAGAAAGTGATACTCATTCGATTATCAACAAACTAAAGAAGTGGGTCCTTGGAACCTATAAATATGTGTTTAATAGGTCGCTCTTGTTCGATGTTCTTTATCACACAAAAGATCGCTACAAACATCATTAAGGTAAATGATAAAAGACATGTCCCTGTCTGGTTATTAAATAATTTATCAAGAGATGATAGGTAACACAGCTCCAATGGGGCTATTTTATCCTAATCACAAGAACAGTACAGAACGTTTGTGTGAGATCCCACATCCGTTGGAGAGGGGAACGAAGCACTCTTCACAAGGGTGTGAAAATCTCTCCCTAGCAGACACGTTTTAAAAACCTTGAGGGGAAGCCCAAAAGGGAAAGCCCATAGAAGATAATATCTACTAGTGGTGGGTTTGGTCTGTTACAAATGGTATCAGAGTAAGACACCAGGTGGTGTCCCAGCGAGGACATTGAGCCCCAAAAGGGGTAGACACCGGGCGGTGTGCCAACAAGGATGCTGGGCCCTAAAGAGGATAGATTGTGAGATCCCACATTGATTGGAGAGAGGAATGAGTACCAGCGAGGACGTTGGTCCCTGAAGGGGGGCTGGATTGTGAGATCCCACATCAGTTGGAGAGGAGAACGAAGCATACTTTATAAGGGTGTGGAAACCTCTCTCTAGCAGACGCATTTTAAAAACCTTGAGGGGAACCCCAAAGAGGACAATATCTACTAGCGGTGGGCTTAGACTCATGCCGTTTGAAGGCTTAAAGACCATGTAGAATAGAACAAACTCTTACCCTTGCCAAGATCATCGGGATCAGCATGCACAACAACAGCCCGTCCAAGTATCGAATGAGGTCCCTTAAGTGAAATCTACACATCAAAACACAAGAACAACAACGAAAATATAATCCACAACTCACATCACAAAGAACAAATGCAAATTAGAAGCCCAACAGTGGCTCGCATAAGCACAACTCACTGAATAAGAAGCAGTCTATAAGGATTAGCAAACTTACCAGCCTATCGGTAATGGAAACTTCAGCAACCCCTAAAACATCCCACAGCTAAAATGTCATACGAGGAGCTCAAGAACATTCCAATGGAAAAAAAGTAGAAACTCTACTAACCATCAGGGCCTACATAGATGTTCCCCAGATCTCCAGCGTGACGTTCTGAATCCCCAGGAGCTCCATGGTTCTTCTTCAATGGATTAAAATGAGGCCCTAACAAAGAAAAAATCGATTCAACCAATGGAACGAGGCGAAATTAGGGCAGAAAAAGAGAGGGATTACCAGTGGAGTTGCAGCCATTTGTGGTATCGCCAAGAGCGTGGATATGGAAGCCATGGAGTCCAGGAGATAGCCCACTTAATCTACCATTAACATGGGTCGCCCCTGTTCATGTTTATCAAAAACCCTACAAGAAATGAGCGCAAAAGAAGCAAAAACAAGCATCGCACACAAAACCTTTCAGAAATAAGTGCAAAAACAAGCAAGAACAATCATCGCATTCAAAACCCTTTGAAAAATGGGCGCAGAAGAACAAAAAACAAGCATCGATTACAAAAACCCTATGAAAAATGGGCGCAGAAGAACCAAAAACAATCATCGAATTCAAAAACCCACATAGAGAAACAGACCATTTGAATCTTGGACGAACTGAATGGAGCCTTTGACGTTGGAATGATCACCTCCTGTGATGAGCGCCACGGCTTTGAGAGCGCCCATTTCGCTCGTCTATCGCCTGACTGAAGATTTAGCGGTTAATTGATGAACGAGTGGAGACTATGAGCGGTTTCTATATCTGTGGGCCCTTAAAGTAAATGGGTGCGTTCTGTTTTGTTCTGTTTTTATATTCCCAAACGGAAAATAAGGCAAATCCCTTCAAAATGGAGTTTATTCATCAACAAGGTTCTTAATCACAAATTATTTACATACCCTTTTGAATTTTAAGCTTTTTAGATTGATTTCCATATTACCCACCAAAAGTTTGATCTTCTTTAAATGGTTTCTGTCTCCAATTTCATGTTTTAATCTCCCAAATTCTTGTACGGACAACATTTGTCATAAAAAAAACACTAAAATCAAGCACTAAACAAAGAAAATAAGAGATAAACCCACATGGTTTATCTTTATCTGTTCATGATCATCAACAGAACAAAGAACAGAGTGGTGGAAGATCCCAAATTGCCTCAGAGGCCTCATGAACAGCCTCCATATACTCCTGAACTCCATTCATGGCATATAAAGAAGCAGAAATTTGCCTCTCAACTTTCATCCTCTCGAAAGCTAACAATTCCAAATCCTCTGAATGCTCGCTTTCCGCTTGAAGCGCCGCCGCGTTCACCGGGAACTTCATCGATTCTTGCACCATCGAAAGCCCATCGACAAACCCAGCTCCAGAAGAAGCTCCCAATCGAGAAGAATCAGAAGAACAAGATGAATCGCTACAAAAATCAGAACCCATCTCTGTTTCTTCCAAACAGTTCGTCATGTCGGGTTTATAGGCGCCGTCGAACAGCCGGCCGTCCTGAATTATTGGGGCGGCGGCGGCGGCGGCGGCGGCGGCGGCGGCGGGGGGGTGGTTTCTGAGTGGACTTAGAATTGGGTTTTTTCTGCCGTTTAAAAGGCTGCGAATTCGTGAGGCGATTGGGGAATTAGTGGAAATTTGTGGGATGAAATTCGTTCTTGTATTGGAACCTCGAAGAAGACAAGCGGCTTCATCGTAAGCTCGAGCGGCTTCCTCCGCCGTCTCGAAAGTTCCGAGCCACATTCGGATTTTCTTTGTCGTGTCTTTGATTTCCGCCACCCATCTCCCCGACGGCCGCTGCCGGACTCCGAGGAACTTGTTAGCATTGCTACCCCTAGTTCTGCCTTTGAATTTGCTTGATTTGCCCAATGAAGCGGTGGCTCCGCCGTGGATTCCCGGCGACTGAAAGTGGATTTCCATGGAGGTTTTTGTTTGTTTGATTAATGGATTGATTGGAAACCGAATGTTCTTAATTGATTGTTGGGAAATGGAGATTTATATGAAATGAAAATTGATTTCATTTTTTTAATTATTATTATCACTGAGTTGAATTTGAGGAGCAGCTACAAAAACTTTTGTATTGTTTTCTTGCATTTGGTTTCATGTTCTTGGTCTTTAATTTTAAAAAATAAAAAAGGAACCAAAAAGGTATTTCACAGCTAAGTCTTCAATTTATGTTTTTTTTGGTTTCCAAAAATACCCTTTTCAAAACTCAATTATGTATCGGATAAATGATAAGTCGGGCATTCCCGACCCACCAAGCGAAACTGGTGGTTTCTTGGTCACGACTAGCTAAAGCTAAAGAGCGCTTCTACGGGGTAGAACCTCCTTCGGGAATATAAGAATTTCATGAGATTGATCTTGAGCTATAATCCAAACACAAACACCTTTGTTTAAGAGAATATTTTTCATATAGAAATTCTCACATTCAAGATCTTCCGATGCAAGGATTTCCTAGGAAACAAAGTCATAGGCACGTAGGTTCACGGCCAACGAATTACGCGAAGAGCACTCATCCATAAGCCGTTACTTAGTACAAATATAGACTATTTATGAGAGTTTATAAAAGCATATAGACTATTTTTCAAGTTTTATTAAATGATTCCGACCAAATTCTAGGGGTGTACATTGAACCCAAAAATCTAGAAAATCGGATCAACTCAAACCGAATCAATGATTCGGGTTGGATAATTTTTTTTGTTTTTAAATCAAACTAGTTCGGTTCAGATTTTGAGTTACTAGTCTTCCCAAAGGTGCACGTCACACCAATCGCCTCAGATTGATTTGAAATTGCGCGCAAATTTCTCAGAGACCAGGGCTTCAATCAACCTCCTTCGCCTCGAGTTTCACTAACTCATTATAGAATCACACTTTCTTCTCATCTCAGGTCATTTCCGGAACAACAAGAAAGCTTCTAGCAGACATGAACGGACATGCCCAATTGTTACCCAACATTTTATTGCATCAACCGTAAACTCAACTCAACCCAACCTAACTCGAAAATAAAGTGTCGGGTTAGGTTGTGAAACAATTTTGGGTTACTTAGATTACCAACCTCGAGTTAGTCTATAAAATTTCATAAACACAATCTAATCCAACCACTAGAATGGCAATAAATCATTTTTTTTTTCCTAAAAAGCATAGTTTTCCTGAAAAGGACAAGGGCAAAAAAGTAATTACGCATGTTTTTCTCTCTCCCTTGAAGTGGCACAAGGTCAAACAGTAGAGAGAGAAAGTTATGGAAGCCTAAAATGCTGCCACTTGGAGGCTTTAGAAAGAAGATCCAAAATAAATAATTAAATAATTAAATAAAAACAAAAATAAAAGACATAAAAGTCTAATCTTAACCTACGAGGTATTGGCTGCCTTCATAAAACATTTTTTTTTTCCTTTTTTTTTTTATTCTCAATTATTTTTTTTATAGAATTAATAATTTAGCGATCACGTCGATCTATAATATTATTTTTATTTTATAAATTAATTTGATACAAAAAAAATTCAAATTAAAATGAATCATTTTTTTTAATTCATGCTAATTATCGACGCTCCATATATAATAAAAATAAAAATTGATTAGTGGAATTAGGCGTTAATACTAATTTTAAAATTTTATAAATAGATTTTCATTTAAATTTTTTATATTTTTTAAAAACATAGGTAAGAGTATTTTATATATATATATATAATGATTTGAAGAGAAAAAAATAAAGAGAAAAGACTTTTTCCTTAAAAAAAAAAAGTAAATAATTATTGGAGTAGTTGTCCAATCTGTAGGGGAAGTATTATTTTAATTTTTTTAAAAAGATTATTATTATTATTTTAAAATGGTTACAAGTATTATTAAACGTCACCATTAAATTAATAAATAAAATGATTTTTTTAATTAAAAACGGAAAATAATATAAATTAATAGGGAATAATGGTGTCCCATTCTGCACGTCGTCATTGTTGTAACATCCATTTCAACCCCCTAAGGCTATAATCATCATCCATTAAAATAATTTTATAAATAAATTCTATTTTGCTAGAAAAGTATTAATAAAATTAGAATTTAAAAACATTATATTATTATATGAGATTACAGTCTCTACCTTCTAATCTCTTTAATATAAATGTTTGAAATTTCTAATTCGATTTATTATTATTTTGAAATTTACTTCAAAAATAATTTCTTAAAAGCTAGTTGAAGAATAAATAATTTTGAAAATTAATTATGAAATAACCCTAAAATAAATATATTTATACATAATTAATCATTAATCATAAATCTTTAACTAAAATTTAAGCCCAACTTTCATCCCTACTCCATGTAGGTGTTAAACGATGGCTCTTCCATTCGACATAATCAAATCACTAAGCCTGATGTCCCTACAGAGTAGGTATTGCTATCAAGATCCGAAGAAACTTTTGCACACCTCAAATCAAATGAGTTAGATTGAGTTGATCGTGCCTTCTATCGTATCATCAAATTACATTAAACATCTAAAAAGAAATCATCCAATTTCGTTTTGAGCAAAATAAATAACTAAATCAGGAATAGAGAACCAAATTATAATTTAACAAGCAAAACATAACCATTAGGTGTATGAATGCACGCTTTGACCTCAATATTTTCAAAACTTGAAAGCCTCAATAATAATAATAATAATAATAATGACAATAATAATAATAACCACTCGACATTATTTTTGGTAGTTTTCACTCTTTTTTGTGAGGGAGGACGACTCTAGTTCACCAATACTTTTGTGGACTATACACCAACTGTATCTACTCTTTCTCCGACCCATGCAAAATCGATGCTTTAAACAAAAGCGCATAACGAAAAATAATACATTTATCAGACAGGATGACGACACACACGACGCCAACGCGCAGCAGCTTTCTTCGAGGGATGGCTGCTGTGCTTCGCAATGTAAAAGGGGCGAGATGACCTTATCAGGCGAAAACACTTCGAAAAATACCAGAAAACACATAGCCAGCCCATCCAACGGATGTACGTAACAAACTCAGGATCTGACACAATCTGGAACAAAGAATGACCTGCCTTGCCAATACAAATTACACTAAGATGAGAGGATTGACTGGAGTGCAAGCTGCTGTTGTGGTTGTAAGGACGACCACGTCGATGCTAGCGTGGAGGGTGGTAGAGTCTGCTGAAGCTGCCTTAAAAGGTTCACCATTCTGCTCACGGTTTGCTCACTCGCAAGATCCTTACCCGCACATAGAACCTACAAACAACAATGCCCCCAGATTGAGAAATCAAAGCATACAAAACATTCTTGTGCACGGTCCTTAACGATATAGCATACCTCGGCAAAAATGGAAACTATTTTAGGAAGATACTGATTGTTGGGCCCTAGGAGTTCTTTATCAGACCTGTTAATTAAATGGAGGAAAAAAAAATGAGTAAACAATGAATCAGGCAAACAAGATTGTTGAATAGAATTTGTTGTGGGATCAACGTTTCAACGTTTCAACCTTTCAACCATTGAACAGAGCTGCTCATGCACCAACTTAGCCTCAATTAAATCACCCTTGATAGGCAAGCAGCTTAGCCAAGCAGGAACCAACTGCCAAAAAAAAGTCAGAGGCAAATAAGACGCAGAAATAAGCATGCCATAAAAGAAATGTGGACCTGAGCAGGATCCATTAATGGAATAAATAGAATGACTTTCCATCATAGAACATGTTTTACCAAATACATACTGCAGGTGATAAATATGTACAACGAAATACTATTAGTACAATAAATAGAATTTGGAGGTC